AATATATATAATTTTTTAAAAAATTTTATTTTATTAGAAGAATTTAAAATTATACTATTTTAAAAAATTTTATAAATTTTTTATTCAAACAAATTTTTTGATTTCAACGTATTTTAAATTTTTTTTAAAAAAATATTTTATTTAAATTTTTCATTCAAACGCACTTCTAATAAATTTATTATTAATTGGATCATGCAAATAAATGAAAAAGTATAGTCAAATATAATAATCTAAAGCAAAGATCAGCGGAGATTTTGCTTCTGATTCACTTTGAAATGCGCATATAATATAGGCCACATCAATCGTTAAATGTTAATGCATATCATACTTGAAGTTGGTCGGGACTTGGAAGTATCCTCTTCTCTCGCTTAATTTTTTAGAATATAACTTTTCATTTCATTTTTTTTAACCACATGATGTACGTAGTGTCTAAAGTTGACATATAATAATAATAATAATAATAATAATTAGTTATATTTACATTTTTTTATTATTTCATCGTTATTTTATTTTATTTTATTTTTTATATGCACATTTGTGTTAGTTCAATTACTTATATGAGAATAGATAATTGACTTAAACATTAACTTGTGATAAAAATTCTATAATGGTAGGAAAGATAAAATGAGTAAATAGGTAATAACATCAACAATATCAATCTATAATAGAAGATTACTTATCCACTCATGACTAAGGTTTACACAAGAGATGAAGGATTTTTGAACGATTTGTGCTTACAAAGATGGTTAAGTTATGACTTAAACATCATTATTTCCTCGGTGAAGTTTGTTAAACAATCATGCATTAGGGTCAAGGATCAAAAGTCAACTAATAAGGTTTATTTCAATTATTTGATAATAAATCGTAATTCTAAAAGTGTTTTCAACTTCAATTAAAATTATAAAATCATACATTGGTCAAAACATGCATTAAGCACAAGAGTAAAATGATTAACTAAATAAAAATAATTCATTGAACGAGAATAGAAAATATTACATGAGTACATCAACAACATCAATCTCCAATAGAAGATAACTTAGCCACTCATGACTAAGGTTTACATAAGAGATGAAGGATCTTTGAGCGATTTGTGCTTACAAGGATGATCTCACAAAAATTCTCTCTAATCTCTCTAGAATTGTGTTACGAAAAGTAAGAATGAATATTGAGACTTCCTAGAGACATTTTTTTATATAATATTTTCTAATAAACTTTTTCAATTAAACTTGATTTTCACTTACTCAAAGTGAGAATGTATATGCTTCCAAGAATGTTCTTTAACTTCGTTCGCTTCGAGAGGTGATTTGGTCACCTTAAACAAATTTTGCTAGCTTAGAACATATCAGTCTTCTATGTAGTTAGAGTCATGATTCTCCTTTAAGATTTATAATTTTCAAATTATTTCTCGTGTTATATCTCAAAAAAGAAAAACATTAAAAATACATAATATTTAAATAATTAAATTTTAAAATTAAAATTATCGCTTGAATAAGTATTTTTTAGTCAAAAACAAAATTTATAAACATAAAATATTTAAATAATTACATAAATTAAATAATATATAGAGAAAGAAGGGATCTATTTACTTTAAAAGTAATTCTATTTAAACTTATTCTGTCAATCTCATATTCTACATTTAATTTTAACGATTCAATTATTAAATTTAAAATTCTTAATACGTAAATCAAGTTTATAAATTTTTAAAAAATTTAAAATTATTGATATTTTATTTTATTAATTTAAATCAACACGTATTAAATATTTTTATAATTATTTATTAATTTAAATTAATAAAACAAAATATCAAATATTTTTATTTTTATTTTTTAAATTTGCAAACTTATCCATCCATTGTCGTACCAAATTGTTGTTGTTGTTGTTTCGCTTACCAAAACTTTACGAGAAACATTTAACGGTACCAAATTCCTCTATACAGTATCCTGAGAAGACCGCAATTGCATAATGACTGATGTCATCATACCTATTCCTTCAAGTGCTAGCCAATAATGCTGCTTCATTATATGACTCTTTAAATAAATACAAGGAAAAAGCACTATTTAAATATTTGAATAAATAAAGATTAAATGGAGTTGGTGGTGAATGATTAAAATTTCTGAAACCATTTAAATATTAGATAATGGAGTAATATATATATATATTATATCATTTTTTTAGCAGAGCTAGCACTGATTTAATGATTTTGTCCACCTAAACCTGCGTCTATAATAATATGATCGTATCATATACTACTTACCAACACCTTCTCTCTCATTAGTTTGTGGATCAGTAACACACACAGAGATGAGTGCTCTCTCTAACTCCGGTGGTGGTGGCCACGACAACTCCTTCCTCAAGATACCCACCATCAACTTTACCAAGCTCTTTATCAATGGACATTTTGTTCATTCCATATCAGGTTCTTTCATTCAACATTAATTTGAATCTTCTATTATTTTTAATTAAATTTACCATTTTTTATTTTAATAATTACTGTCAATTTTCAATTATTATAATAAAATTTCGATTTTAATTCAAAATAAAAAAATAACAGTAATTACGAAACTTAGTACTTGGATAAACACCTTCCCTGTCTGTCTTCGTCTCCGACTCTCCGCATAATTTGTTCTTTCAATAGCATTCATTTTACTTTTCTCTATGTTAAATGTTAATTACTCCTTTTTATTTCTTTTACTACAATTTTTCCCCTATTTCTTTCTTTTATATAATTTTATTTTTATTTTAATGTATTATCTTTTGATTCTATTTTTCATATTTCTACTATAATTACTCTTTTTAATGTATCGTTTTATCTCAAAGAGTTTATTTATAATTTTTTTTAGTTAAAGTAATCAGTCAGTTACAGCTAGATAGATGCATTTAAAAAAAAAGTGTAATTGTAACTTGTTAATTTATTCTAACGTATGTGAGTATTTCTAAATTTTATTGGTACTGTATTCTATTTTCACATATAAAAAAAAAAAACCACGATGTAAGAATTTATATTTTAACTTTGTAAAAAAAAATATAGCATTCTTTTATATAGTGCATGTTACTCATATTTTTGTAATGAAATACTTTTTTTTTTGTGTGTATGTGGATATGAACATTTTTTTTATATATATTTTAAGACACGTCTTTTTTTTATTATTAGTTATTTTTAAGAAAATTAAAAATATCTTTTATGCTAATATAAAAAAAATTAAAATGATTTTATTTTATGTAAATATAAAATACTCGGATATATTTCTAAAAAACTTCTTTATGATTTTATATATATATATTTTTTATAAAAAAAAGGAAGAACATTTGAGACTATAGATCCAAGAACAGAGGAGGTAATTGCAAGAGTTAGTGAAGGAGATAAAGAAGACATAGATATTGCTGTTAAAGCTGCACGTGAGGCATTTGATTCAGGTCCATGGCCTCGCTTGCCCGGCTCTGTAAGTGTTTCTAATTCCTTTCTTTAATTACTTTCTTTTTTTCCTCTAAAAAAAATCCTGTTATTGTGTGTGAGATTTTTCTTCTTTTCTCCAATTAAATCATCTTCATTTTCTTATATTATAAACTTCATTGTGTTTCTAAGACCATGCTTGTTTACATAAGAATGACTTATTCTAGATTTTCAAAAACACATGCATGACGGTGGCAGCTTAGCTAACAATTATCTTTATTTAGCATTTCTTACTTAATAAAACTCAAGAAACGAATTACTTGTTTATTATTGGATTGTACGTTATTTCCATGACATTGTGTTTGAATTAAATGAAATATTTTATTATATAGAAAATGTGATTAAAAAAGTCTCACATTAAGAATAGACAAATTAAACAACTCACAAGTGAGGAAAACTAAAGTCTAAAACCCTTGATTCCTATTAAGAATTTGGTAGGTAATAATTGAATGCATTTGTATGATGTGTTCATAATGATCATTGATAAATATTTATATAATATTTTAATGAGTTAATCACTTATACATTATTATCAGTGTAAAAAAATTTATATTGACAACTAATTATATCTTTTAATTGTATTTATAGTGACATGACACAATTAAAAGATATAATTGATTGCCAATATAAATTTTTTTTACACTGATAGTATATAGATGATTAACTCTATTTTAATTTCTTACTTGTATATTATTATTCAAAATGTTCAATTTTAATTAATGTCACTTCATACTTAAACTCTGTCGATTCTAGGAAAGGGCAAAAATTCTGATGAAATGGGCAGAGCTAATTGAAGAAAACATAGAGGAACTAGCGGCATTAGACACAATTGATGGTGGAAAGCTGCATTTTTTTAATAAGGCTGTGGAAATTCCTTCAGCTACAAATGCGCTACGTTACTATGCGGGTGCTGCTGATAAAATTCACGGCGATGTACTAAAAATGAACGGGGAGTTCCATGCGTATACACTGTTGGAACCAGTTGGTGTGGTGGGACACATAATCCCATGGAATGCCCCTTCCCTCACCTTTTTCATCAAGGTTAGCCCTTCCTTAGCCGCAGGTTGCACCATGGTCCTCAAGCCTGCTGAACAAACACCTCTCTCTGCTTTGTTTTATGCTCATCTAGCTAAGTTGGTATGTTTCCTTTTTCATTTCCCTATCAAACATGCTTCTCACAAACTTACTTTAATTGAAGCTAATACATGTTTTGTGTTTAAGGCTGGAATCCCAGATGGAGTGCTCAATGTAGTGCCCGGATTTGGACCAACTGCTGGAGCAGCAATAAGCTCACACATGGACATAGATGCGGTAACAACAAGTTACATATTTATATTTGATGTTGTCCTTCAATCAATTCTCAATAATACATACTTATATTTAATATAATTTTTCTTATTACATATATTATTAAAATAAAATTTCAATTTTGATTGAAGAACCGAATCAACATCACATATAATATTGCAAGTACGTTTTATCCGGTTTTTTAAATTGATTGTACTGCCAAAATTTCAATTTCCTTGATTATGTTGTTTATGACCTATCAGGTCAGTTTTACTGGTTCAATTGAAGTTGGGCGTGAAGTGATGCAAGCTGCAGCTAGGAGCAATTTAAAACCGGTTTCACTTGAATTAGGAGGCAAGTCTCCTCTCATTATTTTTGATGATGCGGATATAGACAAAGCTGCTGAGCTTGCTCTCTTTGGCATCCTTTTTAACAAGGTGATTCAATTTTCATCCTCCATATACCATTGTATGAGCCAATAGCCAATGTTTTTATGTATTTATTGTTTGTTATTTTAGGGAGAAGTTTGTGTTGCAAGTTCTCGTGTGTTCGTCCAAGAAGGGATCTACGATGAATTTGAGAAGAAGTTGGTGGAGAAGGCAAAATCTTGGGTCGTTGGGGATCCTTTTGATCCCAAATCGCAGCAAGGGCCTCAGGTAAGGACAATATATAGTAGCACCATTTTGTTTACTCTTGTTCTAAAAATTATTTTATCATTATATTTATAGTACTAATCCTCTAATTAAGAAAGTAGTTTATATAAGCTTTATTTGTTCATAATAAGAAATGATGGTGTTAATTTTTATCTACTTTCATGTATATTCTCAAATTTGGGAATGGATGCAGATTCTGTGCACTATTTTCATACCATACTGTTAGTCTTCAATTAAATAACTAGTCCAATTATATAGTCCAAACATTTGAATAAAGGTACATTCATTTTCTCTTTTATCTTAATTTTTTTGACGGGATTTATCATAAATCGTTTTCTGTTGTAGGCTGACAAGAACCAATTGGAGCAAATACTTTCGTATATTGAGCATGGAAAGAAAGAAGGAGCCACCCTTTTGACCGGAGGTAATAAAGTTGGCAACAAAGGTTACTACATTCAACCTACAATTTTCTCTAATGTAAAGGTAAATTTTAATTTTCTCAAAGCATCAACTTAGGTATCTTCGACATAGTTTGATAGCTAACCATCGTGTTTTCATTTTCTCATGATAAAAATAATATTGAAAACGTGTTTAGGAGAACATGATTATAGCACAAGATGAAATATTTGGCCCAGTACTGTCGCTGATGAAATTTAAGTAAGTCATAGCTTTAACTTTTCTTTTTTTGTCGTTTTAGTACAAAAAAAATTATAAATGTTTGTGGTTTTCTTCATGAATGTTGAATTTGAGTATAACATATGAACAGGACAATGGAAGAAGCAATTAAAAGTGCTAATAATACAAAGTATGGCCTGGCGGCAGGGATTGTGACAAAAAATATTGATAGAGCAAACACAGTGTCAAGGTCCATTCGTGCAGGGGTTGTTTGGATAAACTGTTATTTTACTATAGGGAGTGATGTTCCTTTTGGAGGGTATAAGATGAGTGGATTTGGAAGAGATTTGGGAATGGAGGCCCTTCACAAGTACTTACAAGTTAAATCTGTTGTTACACCCATTCACAATTCTCCTTGGCTTTGAACATGAAGCTTTGATGTATGAGCGAAAATGTATGTCTTTTTTTTTTCTTTTTTCTTTTTTCTGGAATAAATTGTGTTTTCGTATTCCTAATGGTGTGTGGCTTGAAAATACTTTGTTTCATTACCACATTATTTCATTAATGAAATCATTAAAATCGATTTAGTGGTTGAAATCAGAATAATATGCATAATTTTATATTTAAATTATATTATCGTCATTATAATTCATATGAAAAAAATATTATTATCTTAATATATTTTCTTTTATTTATTTGACTTAATTATATTTTTGGATCATACAATTATAATTTTTTAAAAACTAAAATTACTCGATTAAAACATTAAATATCAAAATTGCACCATTGCAATACTTGAAAGATAAAAACACAATTAAGCCAAATTAATTATAATGTGTGTTCTACCATAAAGTGGATATTATTAAATATAATGCCGTGATTTATATTTAGTAAAAGTAAGTGATACAAGAAAAATATATAATTATTTTGGTTGACATTCTTGATATATATTCAAAGTATACGTTAACATCACATGAAATATAATTCTGAACCTTAGTCCATAAATTATTAAAACAAATCGCGCGAACTAAGGACACCAGACTGATTCATAAAGCCCAAATTCAAAGTGTAAAGCTAGTTGGGCCGCCAGTTTGTACGTGTATTTAACTCTTCTTTTCTTTTATTCTTTTTTATTTAATTTTTTAGGTTTGAACATCTCTTTCTCACCTTGAAATTCAGAGAATACCTTCTATTCCAACCCTCAATGTTATGGACACAGCTCGCTCACCCATTTAGGATGTTAATTGTAAGTTACTTCCAAGTTTCAAATACGACAAAAAAATGACATACTATATTATGACTAACATTGTGTGTCATGTTAGATAATTTTATATCTTAAATATGTGATCAATGTTGTGATTTCCAATTTTTTTAATCGCATATTATTCCAATTCTCCTACCATTATGAAAAAATATCTATTAGAAGAAATCAGTTTCTTAAATAAACTAATTAGCTTGGAGAATTAATCTTTGGTATGTAGAATAATCACGTTATATCATACTTTTTTTACATAATCTAAAAAAAAATTATATAATCAAATGTAACAGAAAAAAAAAAATCAAATGTATCCATAAGATTTGCTACGCCGGCATGCACCACAAACGGTGGGCTTACGAGGATAGCCCGTTGGGCTTTTATTTAAAGGGTGGGGGCCGAAAATAGAACCAAGTGGATTCGGTTCCACAAATGGCCCGCGTTTATAAGGGTCGAGCTGAAATCTTTGAAGTTACAACATAACCCAGACCTAAAACAAATAATAAAAAAACTATGATGGAGAGTATTACGGAGTAAAGGTATCTTAACAAAATGTATTAAGGTAAGTTTGGGAGAAAAATGTTAGAAGAAGAAGGATGAGAAAATATTTTTTTGTATTTCTAATAAATATTATTTAATTTAATTCTTTAAAATAAAAAATAAAATGATAGATTAGCGTGATTTTAACGTCCTAATGTTTTTTATGCATGTTTAGGGTTTAAACACAAAAAGGTTTATCTTTTCTTTTCCTCTATAATCTCATTCCTAAAGATATCCTTAGCGTTTTTTTAGATTAAATTAATAGGTTCGTTCCTAAATTGTTTGACAGTTTTAGAGAAGTCTTTATATTTAAAAAAAAATGTGATTAAATCTTTAATTTTTAAATCATTTGCAATACGTTCCTTTCTCCCTTAAAGTAAGGCTTCATTACTAAACCGTGAAGTTATACAAAATAGTCTTTATCTCAATTATGAATTTAAAAGTATAAAGATTTAATTGAAAATATTGTAATAGTCAAAGTCAAAGAACCCTACACAAGGGACTCGATTATAAAAAAATAAAAATAAAAATGTCTAGAAATACAATTACAAGTTTTAAAAATTTAAAATGTATTCAAATTTTCCAAAATAATTAAGACATGTTGATTATTTTATTTATTTCCTTATTTATAATTTACCTATACTTTTGTAGTTTTCGTTTATTCCTATGGCTTTTGCTTAACTAAATAGGTTTTAGACATTCTTAGCTTTAGGAATGTGCACAACTCATTCTATCTTATTAACCTAATCAAACTTGAACTAAGTTTTAGGTTTTAATTTCAGATATCAACATATTTTGAAGAGGAGTTTAAATTATACTTTAAAATATAAATCGTCCCGATTTGATGATCTAGTATCTCACTTTCTTTTAAAACCTAAATCATTTTTAAATAATTATATATTAATAATAAAAGTTCTTAACTCAAAAATATTTATTAATTTTAAACTTTTAACTATATATCTAATGCAAATTTTATCTTTTATTACAATTCTTTATAGATGCTTCGTGTACAAACATGGTTAAAAAAATTCCTGGTCAAATAAAAAATTAAACCTGTACTAATACGTAGTAGAATTACTGCTAACACCTTGTTTTTTTTTTTTCTTAATACAAGCCCCGCGCTCATTATTAAAGGAAGTCCCAATCATAGGCAATCATTCGGTTACCTTTTAATGAACATTATTTGAGCAATCAAAAAGGTGGTCGAAGACTAGAGAATCAGAAAATTAACGAAAAAAGTATTCTGCCAAACACAGATTAGATTTTAAAAAAGATTAGCATGCATCATTTTGTATCTTCTGGATGTATCTTACCAAACTGAGCTGGAGTTAAAAAGGTTGGTATTTCCTCTGTTGTGGGGTTACGCGTTTGCACCGAATCAGCCTTTATTTAGAGCAACTCAAACGTTGTTGATTCTAACGTGCCAACAAGTTCATGTCTTACAAAAGAAATGAATAATTAACCAATTCTTTTCCATTCTATAAATTTCTCTCTGCTGATTTCTTTATATGATTTTGCAGGAAATTGAATGTCTTTTTATGGGAGGGAGGGGGAGTAGTAAAGTACAAGTAGGTGTCTCCCATGTTCAACTTGATGACTTTAGCAGAGTTTTGAGCGTGATTGCCTACTTTATGTTTCATCGTGCTAAATTCGGTATTCTAAAGTTTAATAATTTAAAATCTGTATGGGTTGTATATTCCTCAAATGTGGATGCATTGCATGTTAAGCAAGTTCATGTCTAATAGATCGATTTCTAACTCTAAATCTCTACTTGATTTAGAGCCAGGTAAATTGATTTTAACTTAATCAAATTTAAATTGTCGAAGGTGACTAAATATAAAAATATAAAACACGTATTTTTAATTATAAATAAAACGATTCATTAGGTCATTATATTTATTATGGTTTAATTTTTATGAAAAATAAATAAAACCATCATGTACTCGGTATATAATCTCGTACATATAGTTATGTGAGGAGAAAAAAAATGTACTAAAATCATGTACATAAAGCTATATACATCAAAGAGTAAGTATTATATATAAAATAAACCCTAACTATCAGTCAAGTAACTACACAAAACACTACAATCAGAGCATAATTATTAAAAGAAAATTGATCATCTCTTAACCATTCACCATCATGCAAGCTATCAAGTATAATCATCGTAGTTCTAACTGTAAAGAAAATACAAGGTAAACTTGTAAAATAAAAACATGTGAGCATAACTTCAATGTCAATATGAACAACATATACAACAACATCAACGTCAACATGCAACTTACAACAAAAAATAACTTAACAACTTCATCTCAATGATATAATCACCATACAACAATATATAACTAATGTGTTATCACACATATCTACTAAGGAAATCTCCCACAAAAGGGTGATCATTTTAAGTAGTTATATCCTATCGAACCACATTGTTTGACCTATGGCAACCAAGTCAGATATAAACTTCATGTCTCATAAAGATTCTGTTTAACAACTTAATTTGATTTATCTGGTTTTACCACTAAAACTAAGAAGTCAAATATTAATATAAGGTAAAATAACTTGGTTATGACTATACCACAACATTAGTCTATATATAATACTAAGTGACATATGAGATTAACTCGTTAACTACTCTTTAAGTATTGTGTCCCTCTAATACTTGGTTAGAGACTTAGTCTCCAACCTCGTACTTTACTTGGTTGGTTATTTTATACATGTATATCTCGGCCTTACTCATATACAAATACTACATAAAACCTAGAGAAGACAACATAAAATAACTACCCATGTTCGGCACCACCAATCTTGTGCCCAACACCTAGAGAATGAGAACCCTTGACTTCAAACCACGCCTAGCACAATATCATTTTTTGCACTTATGTAAAAATTGATTTCGTGCAATCCACCTCAAAACCATAAATCCAACAACATGCATTGCAAAATATAACATATAAGCAACACAAGGATCTCATTTTCATCAACAAAAACAACATGCACTCATAAAGAATCAAGAATCATCACATTCTAGCCATGAGAAACTTAAAAAATAATTGAAAATCCAACAAATTCATCATCTCATATTTTTCGATTAGGGAATCGACAATTAATCGAAATCCAACAACAACATTAACATGCAACCCAAAAAACATCACAAAGCTCCTTTTACCTCTTGAGGAACTGAATCAATGAGAAAGGAAGAAAAAATGTTTCTGCATGACTCCGACCTTATGTTCTAAGCTTCACAACTTCAATTCTCCAACTCAACTAAGCCTGATGAGCTACAAGGAGAGGAAAAAAAGGGTTTATAACAAATAAAAGTGAAGAGGAGTCACTCAAATTACATAGAACCTCTCATCAGACTCTATCTCTAGATTGTTGAAAACTTGAGTTTTGAGGCTCAAAACTCAAGAAAACTCTTACAAACCTTTTTTGAGCTAACACAACTTATCTTTGATTTAGTTGTCCTAGGAACCAACTTAACTCTCAGAGTTCGTTGACTCTAGAATTCTCATACAACACTATTAACAACAACATGCAATATATCACATAAAAAAAACTAAACACCTATAACTCACATGGTTACAAAAAGTATAAAAATTAACTACATAACTTTAAATTAAATAAAGTTTTAAGTTAATTTATAAATTGTGTTTGGCTTATGATTTTTTATATTTTTACTTTTTCAATGTATATCAAACAGAAACCTTCACATTTATCTTGATTATAAAACACACTATAATGCTTTGTTTGAGAGAAGTAGAATAATTGAAGGAAGTGAGAGAGAATAAGTGATGGTTGA